TTTATATAAAAGTTGCTAGTTGTGAGCCAGAAGCTTTAGTGCTTTAATAAGAAGGGTGGCGCTGACAACAGGAGATGCGTCGAAAAGAGGCTATGCGTTAGTAAGAGGCTATGCGTTAGTAAGAGGCTACGCGTTAGTAAGAGGCTAGGCGTTTATAAGAAGACATACAGTTTCGGGAAGGCTGAAAAGGCTAGCATGTAACTTGGCTGGGGAATTGAGTTATGGAAACTAAATTATCTATTAGGCTTGTGTGACAACGGCTGTGTCAGCTATTGCACAAAAATTGTGCAAATAAGTTTGTTATAATGATTTTTTATAAGGAGGTATTTCTGGCATTTCTTTGGTAACCTTGTGTGCCCCTCGCTTATACTACAGTTTGTCAAACAATGATCTTTTTTCTTGTTTGTTTAGCAAGTCTGAAATAAAATACATCGTTTTTCTAACAATACACTTTGCATGCTGCTTGAGATAAAAAGCTTGCAAACATCTCTGGCTATTTCCTCTGATAGGACGATTTTTAAACATCCCAGTGAAACAAAAACGAACCGTCTTGCAAATACGCTCACACAAATATATCCGATAAAAGATTAGAACCGACCGAGAAACAAAGGTATTACGTTTTGCAAAATTAGCAGTAGGCTTGTAAAATGCTTTCTCTTTTCAAAGGCATCCATAAAGTTTGCAGGATACTAGACTTGCTCCAAGTCTATTTTCATGCTTGAGAGAGGTGTATTTATTCGCAGAAGTCTACAGGAGGGAAATAAATACTCCTCTCTTAAGCATGAAATAGATTTGGAGCAAGTCAAGAAGGATACTGATTTGTTCCAATCTGGTTGCGTATTGGTCAAAATACAATAACTTCTTTACACTCTGATTGGAAAAATGCATTTTTCTAACAACAAGGAAAATTTGCCATGATTCAGACTGGCTCTGTAACTGGCCCAAACCCACAAATATTTCTAATGAAATTTTCTCTGTTTTTAAAACAGTGAATAACTTGATTTTATAGTAAATATAGGCAAATCGTAACGAGAATTTATTGGATTAATTTATTCTCTAGCAACAGATCTGGAAGGTTAAATAGATTATTTTGAGATTTCGGGAAATAACTCATGAATGGAAATTCATATACACCTCCAGGGTAATGTTAACCTTTACCCTCAAAATAAAGAACTGCGTTAAAACGAAATATTTGAAAAAATTATACCCGATAATCATGAACTGTTGCCCTTCATTCGTTGTAAAAATCATGACTTAATGGAACAGATTTTTAAAGCAGTTGCTTAAAGCTCATTATGAAATAAATGAGGTCGTACACGTAGACCATATTTTAGTTGGCTCTGTGCCCCCCCCCCCAAATTTGTGGTATTACTGTTAAAAAGTAATCGAATTCTTCGCAAACCTAATAAACGACACACTGGCCACTAAGAAACACTTTAAAAAAGTTCGAAGAATGTTGACGTCACTGCCATTTTTTGTCAGCTGGGATTCCAAACCGGCTGACCGTTCCACGACAAAAGTACCCTGGATACCAGAACTTCAGGGAAAGTGTGAGTCGATCAGTGATAAGCGTTCCACTTATCGACGCTTTCACCGTCCTACTTTTTCAGAGAGGCTTTGGCACCCAAATGATGATCCTTTTAGAAGCAGGATACAAAGTGGCATAGCTTGATCTTTTTAACTGGGGGAGGGGTGGAGGGTCATTTGTAGTAAGGATTTACAGACGAAGACATAAATGATCCACTCCCCCCCCCCCATCACCCTGCTAGGGGCGTCTCTGAGAAAACACGAATACAAAGGCCTCCTCTGCACAAATAGAATCCAAGTGAAAAGGCTAATATTTCTTCACGTTTTGCCTTCTGTTTACAGGACAAAGATGAAATGTTTTGAATTTTTTTAAAAATACAATATTTTGAAAAAACATCGTTTTCGTGTAGACGAGAAACCAAATAGATATAGCCAAGCACAGTGGCGGACATTTGGGGGGGCGAAGGGGGCCACCGCCCCCCAATACTTTAGAGGACAATGGTCTTTTGTTTTAAAACAATGGGAAATTTGACGTCATCTTATTAAAAAAATAGGCTTGCCCCCCCCCCAATATTTGACCAAGTCTCCGCCCCTGGCCAAGCACTAGAGATAAGGCCTAAGAACTAGAGATTAGGCGATGAAAATGGAACAAGTATAACCTCAAGGTTTGTTGCTAAAATAATTAAGAATAGGGTTCATCAATCTTTCACTTTTTCTTTGGAGAAAAAGGATGTGCATCATATTCCCGCTTTTCTCGGGATTTATAAGAGAAAAAGGACCGTTAATCTGTACTTTTTGAAGCCAAAGACTTCTAACGCCAAAGCATCGATTTTAATGAAGAATCATTGGTTGAGAACTGATATGATTCAACATAGGCGCCGACTTTTATTTTTCCAGGGGGGGGGGGGGCTCAAAATTTAAATTAAAAAAAATTAAAAAAAGTTAAGAGGTAGAGATATTCCCTGTCGCTTTCATAGCGTTTAGACTAAATTTATTCGATTCAAATTATTCTTAATTAAACAATAGATAAATTTTACATTTTTGAGACATCTATATTTTCAGCCCAGTGACTGATTTCAAACGAAATTCCAGGGAGGGCTGAGCACCCCCCCCCCCAAAAGCAATTCCCAGGGGAGGCTCGAGTCCCCGAGCCCCCACGTAGTCGGCGCCTATGTGATTCAACGTATAAGAACGATTTCTGCATGAAAAGTATGAAGATATTGCGATATTTTAAGCATAACTCTTCTACAGGTAAAGATATAAAATATTCAAGATATCGTAAAATCTAATTACTTTTAATGTAGCTTTAACATTTTATTTCCATTCGCTTGTTTTATTATAAGTCTTACCTGCTAATTCATATTGGAAATCGTATCACCGAGCTAAAAGCCGCAAAAATAAAGTACAGCATTTAATGTCAAAAGTCGTCCACAAAAAGATACCCGTGGATACAAGATCCGTCAGACTTTTAATTAAACCATGATTGATTCGAGGTAATCTAAATTTATTTTTACTCAATCCTTCTGAATTATGTCAGCTCTCGGGAAATTTACGGGAATTAATCCTAAGCTTCATTGGCTCTTATCAATGGCAAATATTCACTTTTAGTAACTTATAGAAATTGCATTTTTCATTTAGACACAATGTCAAGTTGAACTGCCTTGTATATCCAGTGGCGGGTTTTAAGGGGGTCAGGGAGGCCACGGCCCCAGGCCCTGCGCTTAGTGTAGCCTAAAGGACATCGCAGTCCCTAAAACCGCCACTGTGTAAAATCACCTGAGGTTCCATTTGTTACTTTGAAACTTGACTTTTAGAAGTTAGTATTTACTTGTTATCTCTGTTGGTTAGCTAATATTCTTGCTTCTCATCCCGTTACATAATTTTCTCCCCATAACATTTCAGATATTGAGCAAAGCTTGCAGTATTGCACTTTTAACTTTAGTTAAAAAATTTTTAAAGGACAGACTCTTAGTATGTAAAGACACACAAAATTCTAAGATTCCAAATTGTTTTCCAAATTATTTGAAATAAAAAGCTAAGCTAGACTTCACAGATAACCCTGAATGAGCAATTGCTTTGGCTATAAGTTGTATTTTATATATAATCTGGACGTGGCAGTAATTATGAGAATTACATTGTTGTAAATCTATTGAAACTCGAAAAAATACAACGATTTGAAGTTTTTAAACGTAATCCTTAGTAGCACACCAACATAGATAAGAGAGAGGGGTTGAAGGTCTGGCTTGGATTATTGCACATTTGTAAAACTACAAAATGATATCAGAGAAAAATCAAAATAATTGGAAATATACAGAATGATAAAATGGAATAAAATCAAATAATAACTTGTCATCGTTTAATCATACAGATCACAAGCTAAAAAAATCAGATAGCGAATGAGTAATTACAATTTTGTAGAGTGACGAGAAAACGGTTTAAATGGGAAGAAAATAATTAAAATCATAAAATGAAAATCTCAAAATAATAAAGGACAACCAAAATGATCGCAAAACTATTATCTATTATTATTGATTACGAACGGTTTCGGGTGGGAGCTCCTTTTGTTTTAACATATTGTAAAGAAATGTTTGTTTGGCAAAGTCAGAGCCTTTTTTTCAAGATAAAGGAAAAGCTAACTCTTCAAAAATAGAACTGAACAAACTTTCTACTGTTGAGGCCTAAACGATCGGTATTTTGCAGTGACGAGAATTTGGAGCATTTCCATACCATTCCTTGTAGCTCACATCATATTAATTAAAGAGCTGTATTATAATAATCATTTTTGGTAAAAATGGAAGAACACATGGTGATCTCTATGTTATACAAGTTTGCTATTGATATAAAAGTACATTGACGACCTTATGAACAGGTAACACAGAAAGAGCTCCATGAATTTAAAACCAACCACCGACCATCATTCGAAAGGTTATCACACATAAATCCCTTTTATCAACTTGATCTTTTAGGTTTGATACTGAACTTTTGTAACCTTTACCAGGTAACAGTCTTGAGTTTACGATAAAATACGAGGGCTGTGCTTGACCTTATAACAAATGATTTCTCATCACAGTCAAGAGAGTTCACGTTCTTCTTTGCAAGAACAATTTCCTTAAATTTTGCAAACCTCCTTCAGAAACAATGATGATAAGGAGGGTTTTGGGCATGGTGCTTCACGTTTCTTTTATGATTTTTCCAGTAAATTTCTGATCAGCTACGTTAAAGAAAACCCTGAAGCGACATTTATATCTTAACAATTCTATCTTAAACTTGACAGTAGGGAAGTGAATTTATGATAACAAACAATTAACAACTTTGATAAGAGCTATTTTGTCAGAAAATTCTCTGCAACGAAACATGAATTTCCCAATATTTTTCTAAATTTCTGAATATGCCTAGAACTGCATTCTTTCTGTACGTTTCAGACATATAAATCAAATGTTTACAAGGTCTTCTAGTTTAACTGAGAAACATACCTGAACGTTTCTGGAAGGAGATTCAAAGGAATCAGTCAGTAGAAAATACCAGCTGGTCTCGGTTCAGAATCAACTGACCTTCAGCTTACGACGTACGTGAAGCAAGTCATTCAACCTTGGTGTCGTGTTACGTCTTTGCTTAATTTAAATTTTTTATGCACAATAACTCCCACCTAAATACCCTCCATTTCTAATTAGCTTTTCTTTCCGTATTTATTATGTGACTGTCGATTCAGGCTGACAATTGCATCTTTGTTTACGTATCATTCGTCAATTATAACTAATTAATCCTGTACTTCCTTAAATTCTTGTCAATATTGCGGCGATCATCATTTTTTTAGTTGCTTGTAAATACTAAATACAAACCGCAATTCTGCTGATCAAAAGAGCAGAAATTGAAGCCCATCAATGCGCGCCATATCTTACAAGACATGAATATTGATTGCAATAACTCTTTTGGAAATTATTTGTATTGCTGCTTGCTCCTATAGACAAAAAAGCAAAGGGCAAAAGGTTTTTGTTGTTGCAAGCATTAGAAGCCGAAATCAGGTGGGCCGCCAAGCATATAGCTGATAGGCTACTTTCCTTTGTCATTTCTTGTTTCTATTAATAAAGGATAATTGAGCTACCAAAAACCAAGAATATCTAGCAGACGATCAAAAGGACCTTATCTGAAAATATAGATTCTGGCGCCAAAAATACGATACGCATGGCAATACCTAGGCCAGGCGTTTTCAATATTGCGCAAATCCTCGAATTAGCCCTCTGGGAGCTTATTTATTTTTAGCATTTTTTGATGGGGGTTATTCGAGGGTGGCTTATTCCAGGGGGGATTTTCGAGCGGTATGCAATTTGGCATGACAATTCGAAAATTTACGGTATGCCAAAATATGCTAGCAAAAAACTTGACTAAAGAAGAAAATTGTTCAACTTCAAAATGGCATCTGGAGAGAGTTTTGAATTTGCAGACTGGTCACAGACAGTCTCGCGAAAATATTGCATGAAATTGCGATTTTTACAATTTCAAGTTGTATTGGGTTCAACAAGGCATAGTCTATGAACAAGGCAAGTGTAGAAGCATAACTGGCACGTGGAATAACAATAACATGAATCAGAACGATAGGATATGGATATCGTCTGCTGAGATGAACAAGATGGCGTACAGTAGAAACCTACTCAAAAAAACTTTTTTTTGGAAGCCTGGATGGATGTCGTCGACATAATATGTTTTTTGGCTGGCAGCAGTCGCTATAAAGGTTTAAAAAAGTTAATAAGGGCGAATTATTGGGGCAAGTTGAAATTTAAAAGGCGTTTTTTCTGCAACGTTACTTAAAGGCATTTGACACAGGTAAAGGTGGCTTACAGCCACTCGACCACGAGCGATTGACCAGTCAAATTGCGCACAGAGAAAAAGACGGGAACAATTTCCACCTTTCTGCAAATCGGTGAAATCCTTGAGCAGCGCGCAGTGGTTTCACGTGAGCAGTTTCCAATTCCTTTTTGCGCCCGTGCTCTGATCAATTTGGCCTAAGTTATTTTTTGATTCGCTGTATTTATGCATGTCAAATGCCGTTAAAAGATAAATCATGTTTTTGGATATTTTCTATAGAATGAACATAGACCAATAGAGATTAAAACAAAAGTTATTGAAGAACCGACAAGGATAAACACATGAAATTTAGATTGAGTAACATCTGCTATGCTAAGGACAAAATAATAAGGATAATGTGCATTCTGGTTAAGGGGAGTTACTTACTCAAAAAAGATTTTGCACCCTACATAATTAACATTTGATGTTGATACTTCAAATGAGAAGGCAGTCTATATAGATGAATTATTATTTTAAAACCTTTTCCAGGTCCATCCTATTGCAGGTTCTGTTAAGGGGCTAAAAAGTTACATTGTGATGTCAGTGAGTCACAAAGACAATTCGTGGGCAATTAGTGGTTGAAAAAAGACACTTAATGGAAAATGGGTTCATAGAAAAAATGCTTCACTCCATAATATTTCAGGAAACATTTTTTGCTGTGTGCCGTGGATAAGAAAAATGTGTTGCCAACCCAATTTAATGTTGATCAAATGAAATTTTATCGAGTTAATTTCACGAGGGATGTTGTAAAATTTGATTTTGCTAGGGGCTCTTATTTTAGCTTATTTGTATTATTGTCATTTGGGTGTCAATTGTCATGCTTCAGTTTGGTATTAAAGTCCTTATGTGTTTCTTTGATGCCATTGGAAATAATAGAGAAGAAGGAATTCTGTAGTGTGGATCCCTTTAATTATTATTATTATTATTATAATTATTATAAAATTATTTACAGTAGGCGAAGCAAATTTTTTTAGCTAATATAACAGCTAATTAAAGCCTACTATTTATACTACATTTACAAATCTTAAATTAATTACAATGAATGGATAAAATGATATAGGAAATGTACAAAATTAAAAGGGTGACTCATTAAATAAAAAAATACAATTATTCGATGACTATTTCAAGAATCCAATCTGCGCAACGTAAGGGTTGCATAGTCTGCAGTTGCATTTTGTATCTTTTCAAGTTTTAATCTTTTTCTTAAATATTGCGAAACTAGAAGATGTTTTAACGTCATTTGTAAGCTCTTGCCAGAGCTTGGATCCCATAAAGGTTGTACTTTCTATACCATAACAATTTGATTTTGGTTTTGATAGCGATATTCGGGATATGTTTCTAAGATTATTCCAAGAAGTTTTTGTTTTTTACTTGGTTTAATTATCGTTTTATCTATTTTCAGAGATGTGTCATTGCTGCCTTTACCAAAATTTATAAAATGGCATTTGTCCCCATTCATTTTCATATAATTATTTTGAAACCATTCTCTCAAAATAACTACATCTTGTTCTAGTATTTTAGTAGCCTGCTTAATGTCCTGGTGGATGACATATAGCGTTGTATCATCAGCATAATTGCATATTTGGCTATTTGATATAAACATAAACATGTCACTTATGTATATATTGAGCAAGAGAGGTCCCAAAACTGATCCTTGTGGCACACCTACACTCGTGGTTTTCCATTCACTGAAAGAGCCGTTTATTTTGATTCTTTGTTTCCTCTGGCTAAGGTACGATAATGTGAAATTCAAGGCGCTTCTACTGAAACCATAAGCATTGAGTTTAGCAATCATCAGGTCATGATTCAGACAGTCAAATGCTTTTGCCAGATCCATCAATAGTGCACTGGCTGTTTGTTTAGTATCTAGAGCTTTTTTGCAATTTTCTATGAGTCTGAGAAATGTATGTTGGGTGCTATAATTCCTTCTGAAACCACATAGCAGTGGTGATAGAAAACCATGAGCGAATTTGTAATTTGTCTTACTTAGATGGGTGTATTTAATCTAATATATGTATGAATAATGTATTCTCTTCCCCTCTCATATTTTAGGTATGTAGGTAGGACTGGTGCATCGGCTCTATGGTGGGGAAAAGTGAACCTTTCTTGTCCCTTTCCAGAACTTTAAGCTGCTTGTACTTGAGTCTATAAATATATCAGAAGTTAGATTTTTTGTATGGGTTAGGTAAAGCAGCTTGTGCCGATGCAGCAACGGCGCAACGTCGCTTCTTGTGATGGGGGAATGTAGCCTCAAGACCTGATCTGATCAGGGATGTGGCAACGTCTTCTGAGGGAGGTTTTTTATTTTAATTGACGGAATGCATTTGTTTATGTTTTTTCTCGGAGTAAGAAATTAATTTGGTGTAAATTTTGCTTCTCTTCACTACAAGGCACGGGATCCTTAGATACCTAAACAATGTGTTTGGCTCTAAAGAAATTTTTGACACATTGCTGCTTATAGTCTCTTGCAGGCATGCAGCTTCTGCATAAATTTGGCGAGGTCTCTTTGAGTTTAAATAAGCTCAAATAAAGAGATGAATAAAGAGGTCAACCAAAAGCACAAAGATCTTCAACAGTTCGACCCACCCTTTCGCTGAGGCTTAAGTATCCAGGGTAAACTTATTTCCCATTTTTCTTTTAGACTGAAATTAAGCTCTTGTCTGATTCATTTCTCCTGTGAGCTGGTAAACAAACTCTTTCTTATATGAATGTTAATCCAGGCCAGTAGCCTGGGGGTGGCATGGGGTGGCAATGCCACCCCTGGAGCAAGAGGACACCAATTGTTTGCCACCCGGAGAATTTGTCTAAATTTTTTTTAATGCGCTTTTTCGTCGTTTTTATTGGATTGTCATGACAATTTAAGTCAAGATAAGTTTGGCGTTTTTATTGGATTGTCATGACAATTTAAGTCAAGATAAGTTTGGCGGAAGGAAAATTGTTCACTTGGGGCTTTTATTTCGAGACCCTGATACCTCTATATAAATATGCAGCGTCAATATTTCTCTTCTGGAGAAAACATTCGAGGAGCTTGGTGTTTTTCTCCAAGCAGTGTGCAAATCTTCTCTCGAATGCTTACATTAAAAATTTTTCTAACTGAATAGAAATTAAGAGGATGAAAATTGTTTAATTTCTGAAGACATTTTACAACTTTATTGCTTCTTTGTTTTCACTAACTCTCTGCACCCCCTCCTCTCCCTACACCAAACTTCACTTTAAACTTTGCCTGCATTTGCAACCCCTACGCCAAAGGCTTGGCTACGGGCCTGGGTTAATCTCAGAAATTTTTCAACCTAGTAGCTTTCCCTGCACATTTTTCCTTATGCGTAGTACTGAAAATACTGGATGTTTGCAAAATCATATCAGTTTCAGGGCCCACGCCACGAATTTGAAAGTGGGGAGGAAGGGCAAGGCTAGAAAAGTAGTAGGCCAAGGCTTATTTACCCTTTTACTGCAGCATTAAACCTACTTGCTTTGCAAAAAGGTGGGGGCAATGGCCACATGACCCCCCTCCACTTCCATAGGACCCCTGGGGCAATGGCCACAGGACTGAGTTAACAAAGCTATGCACCCACCAAAATGAAACAAACTTTGAACTTGAATCACTTACTTTTAACTAACATATACCAGTTGTGCACCCAAGAACACCAAATTGACTGCAATAAACTCTCTATTAAACTTTTTGCTTCGTCGAGTGCTCGTCATGCTGTATTCTTGAAGTTATTTTCAATTTATCCAACGCTGCAAAAAGGGCGAATGGGTATTACAATAAAAACTGCGTTACTGTCTTTTCCAGAGTTTAATCAGGCAAGAAAATATGAAATTCTATTTTTCACTCATCAGACCGGTAAATACGTAAGAGACACTTCCTGGAATGTCACCACATCTGTCACTGCAATCTTGTATCTCTCCAATGTTATTTATACAAAACTCCCGGCAGTACAAAATCCTTTTTAAACCTTCAGCACTTGTCATACCAACGCTTACTTATCATTAGGGCCCCTGTTCCTAACTACACGCTTTTAAAAAACTTGGCTCCAGTTTCAGCCTGGTGTTTTTTATTCTTTCGTATTAATTCAGCCTAACGTGTTTCTTGATTTGTTCCTTATTTTTTCAATGGAATATCTTGTGCATAAAATAATTAATGCTATTTTACTTATTGCTTTACTTTTTTCTGTTGCTATCCTTTCATTTTTCAATTTTTGCTATCATATTTTTTCTTGTGTTTCCAGCCGGCCTTTTCTCGTATATTGTTCTCATTTTTTGGGCAAATGTCAGCCTGATGTTTCTTACAAGGGTTGTTCTCATAAAAAAGCCTGTAGCTTTAAGATTTCTGTTTCGTTTGTAATTAAATGACTGTGGAGAGGCTGTTTCGAAAATAACATCGAACTAGTTGTACACACCTTGGCCGCAAGAAGTTGCCGAGTAATAGGTGTGATATGGGGTGTAGCAAAAATGATTTGCAACAAAGATTTTCCAAATAGAAATCTGTATAAAGTGCTTTTGAATAGCTCTTTCTTGGTGCATGTGTGTTTTCTAGTAACTTATACATTTTAAACAAGCAAGATCGAATCTGGACCAAAACGTTTGAATTTGCTACGCTATAAACAGCCTTCTCAGTTGTTCATTGCAGTAAAGTTATGGTTCGACCTCTCAATTTTTACATTGGTATTATCTTATAGGTAAAATTGACAATTACAGTTAAGAAACCATGTTTAATGGTATACAGAATAGTTTTAGTTTTGTTGGGGAATATACACCAAATGGTAAAGGACAAAGAAAGAAAGATCAAATACACTCATTTTTTATAAGAAACTAAGGTCGATGCTGAGTACTCCAGGTTCTTAACGTTCTGGAAATTTCAATACTTATTGTTTCTTAAGAGTTTCTTAATTCTGATGTCATGAATGATGTTATGAAATGTTCGTGACCTTTTTATCACGTCAAGAAATTCTTTTCCGTTCTGATGCTGTACTTAGATGTGGGAAGTATATTTTTATCCATTGTGTCTTAAATTCTAGGCCAACAGGGCAATTATGTTCTTGGATTTTACAAAATTTCGTTGTTCTCAGTTTTATCACGATTTAATGGTTTCTTATATTTTTGCTTCGAGTACTGAAGTTTCTTGACTTTTTCTGACTGTCCAGTATTCGTTTCTTATAGCAAGTTTCTTATAAAAAAATGAGTGTAGATGCGAAGACATGACAAGGGGGTCTAAAGCTATGCTCCCCGAAAAGATATAAATTGAAGATATCATCGTTGACACAGGTGGCATCTTAGGGTGCTAATAACCTGAATATCTTTTCTTTGAAGTCTGATTTTAAGGAAGATGCTTATTTTCTGAATTAGTTTGAAAAAGAGGCTAAATAGCGCTGCATAATAGTCAGTTCCGTTTACAGTACAGTTTGCAAATTTTTCCTTCGCTCTCTATTATCTCCTTCGCAGTTTAGATTTGCCCTCGAATGCCTCACAGATTTAACCAAAACAGACTTTAGAAAAGTCTACAGCACTGTTAACAGCCACATAAAATTTAGGCTCAAACATGTAGACCGCATAATGTTTAAGTAAACCTAAAAATTTAGACCCCAAAACTGTTGCAGATTTTCAACCTACATCTTTTTATATATTCTCTCAAAATCTTTACAAACATACACAACTTTACAAGACGATACCATAAGGAGCATGGGAATATCAAGCACCCCTGTGAAAATTTACAATCAACATATAAAACTAAATTAACAACAATTAGAGGATGCAAAATGAACGAGAAAGAATAAAAATAAACTATTTCAAGAGAGAGGAGAGCGGAAACATGCTGTTTGTATCACCAATTTGTTCAAAACGTTTAGAGGCCTGGGCATATCTTTGCGTTGCAGCGGGAATTTTCGAATTTGATTCAAGTGGTATTTCTCCATGGCCATAGAGGATGATATTTAGCACATCTTCATTTGAAAGATCCATCAGACCATGAAGCAACAATATAGCATTTACACTGTTGAGGAGATCACATCTATCTACGTTATAACTATGGCAGAGCAGGAAATAGTGCTCCTGTTATGCCTAGAATTAGAGGCATATGTACTCTCCTCTGTTCCTATTCAACCATTGTCTATATATTAACGCTTATTAAAGCAGTATTAGGAATGCCTTTCTTGTACTGAAGCAGTGCAAGCTGCATCTAATACAAAGTTGCTGAATTTCAAGCCCCTTCGAAACAATTCTGGCCCTTGTTATTATACACTCAGATATCTTCAACGTCGCACAGGGGGTTCTCAAACTAAGCTAGGCTCGGAAGTATTTTCAATAACATCGTTGACATTATATGAAGGCAAGCTAATATGTCTAAGAAACAATTACTATTTGTCACAAGTTTCAGATAAACTCACTTTTTTTCTTTGTGTAAAACAGTCTGGGTCTTTTTTAGGGTACATTATGTTGATGAATTTGACATCCATTATATCTTACACGATTAAATTGTAATTTTATCGACTATCTCAGACATTGAATTGAACCTGCTACTACCAACCTTTTACTGATGCTTCGGTATTGTTTACATCCTAACACCAAGTCTGCCACTATCATTCCTTACAGTAGAAGTGAAAATGTTGATGGTTGACTGTTTAATGCTACTTGAGTTAGTTGAATTCAAATTAAATTTGTACTTTAAGAAAAATCATTCCTTTTGTTACACGACTCATGATTGTTTACTCAGTGTGTATATTGAAAATTTTTAATAATTTTCTGCTTTGTTTAATAGCTTTGATCAAAAAGGAATTTTTTGATTGTATGTAATGACAATTTAAATAACTTTCTTGTATGCAGGTCGAATTCTTATATAAAAAGGTTATTACGTTGTTGATTTTTTATGAATTGAATATTTATGGATATACCCACGCATTCAAAGTCAACCAAAAATAAAATGTTAGTAAACAAAGACAAGTTTCGTAAAAATCAAAATATTTTACCATGAACACATCATTTTATTGAAAGTGTTGCTTATTAATGTAAATATAGCGCAAAGATTTGTTTATAGTTATAACATAGCAGCATTAATAATATTGACAATGAAAGACGTTTATAACTACATTCATATTTGAAGACATCATAATCTGTTTCAGGCAAGGGGCCGTGGAGAATATTACGGACTATGGGCGGGGGCTGAACAGATATATGTGGATTTAAACATGTAAAGGGGTCCAAAACAAGCTTTTTTGTAATGTATTAAGCAAAACTAGAAACTTATCGAGAAAGCATAAGGCTCCCAACCTCCCTCCTCCCTAGTCCTGTGGCAGAGCAGTTTGAATAACATCAACAGTTTCACACTTAAGAGAAACTTTACCTATTGATCTTAAACTTTTCATCATTCATCAGCTTCCTAACATAAGACGTCAACAACTCCCCCCCACTATGAGTTAGAATGATATAAAAATTCTTAGTCTTTAATATGATGTTTCAACTTTCTAAAACAAACATCTGGAAGACAAAATCAAACGATCGCCAATTTTTAAATAAATTAAATTCACACTTCGCCAATATACTGCAAAAAAACATCACTGGAAAGAAGTTCTGTCATTTATAAAATGCAAAAGTGGGAAAACGCTTTTCTCTATCTGTTTGATCGTCAAACTTTCGCTTTTGATATTCTGCATTTAATGTTGAAAAAATGTGCAGTGTAAAAGAAACCTCCTTGTTTATGTATTTGGTGTATTTTTGATCAAATTGGACACGGTTAGAAAATGTTATTTTTAACGATATTATTGAAGACCAGCTGTCGAAAACTGATTGAAAGGCTCCTAGTGGAAACTGCTATTACGGAAAATCGTTTTAAACAGCTTATAACCAAAACATCCTTTAAAAAAAATCCCAATGATGGTAACAGATATCCAGCTCTTTTTCCCGAAAAATGACGTTGTTTTTTTTTCCGGAAAAAAAAATTTTACAATCGTAGCTATAATAAGGTCAGAGAGAAATTTGGAGCTCTTCAGAATAAAAAAGGAATCGATTCCCCATTAGAGCATTCTAATTTGCAGCAATGCTTGCAGACGGTGCAAAACCTGTGCTTCCATATATACGAACCTTTGGCGTGTTTATAAAAAATGCTGACCTGCATTCAAAGCAGGAATCTCGTTTTCAATTTTGTTTTGGCGCGAAAAACAAAGATGGCGCCAGCATTGAGGAAAACCTGTGAGTGTGAATTACGATCAATAACAACGAAGGTACCACGAATAAGGACATGATGTTCGGCAAAGAGAGTTTTTTATTCCCTTCCATTGCTTAAATTGGAGGATAGATTCAAATTAATTGTCTTTGGAGAGGTAACATGATTTGTTTTGCTGTCCATTCGAATTGTGCTCTTTTCAGTTTCACGTAGAAATCTCTTTTGAATAAATAACTGCAAAACATACTATGTCATAGGCTAAATGACTTCAGATACCTATCAGAGGAGCAACATTCAGCGCGTGCCTATGGGTGGACATGTTTTATTGGATTAGGCCAAATAAAAAAGTATTAAAGAAGATAAAAATATAAATGGTTCTTCTAGAAAAGCTTCATTACATACTAGGGCTGTCCAAACCTTCGGATATTCCAATTCGGTTATTCGGTTTAAAATTTAACGAATATTCGGTTATTTGGCGAATATGGGTATGGTAAAATGGGTGTGACAGGGCAGTGGTAAAAGCTGCAATCTGAAAATTTACTTGTAATTTAACCAACCTGTGAATATAGCTAATCAGTCATTACTATTTGATAAGTCAGAACCATTAATTTTTTTGTTTTCCTATTGATATTTCCTGTGTTTTACGTAACTTCAAAGGGTGTGCTGCAAAGCAATTTTTAAAACGATTTTTTGTCAAAAATAAATGTTTTCTCGAACCTTCCCTAGCATTAGTTGCCTCTAATGTCCAGAAAGTCAGTATCAAATTAACGAGAAACCAAAGTCGTATGTTTTCAAAAAGGGTCATTGTCCAACATTTTTAAAAGTGAAAAGCTTTTTAGCACGGGCTTCAACACAGGTTGGGAAGTGGAGGGGGAGGGAGGGCAAAAGAAAATTCAACACTCAAAACAAAAGATTTTATGAAAAGGGGAGGGCCATAGCCCCCCGGCCTCCCCTTCATTGGAGGCACTGTAGCACAAAAATTTCCCAAGGAAAAGCCCCATGACCCCTACCCGCAACCCACGCTCCACTCCCCCTGCCCCCTTCCAATCTTGCTTTATTGGCTTTGTAACTATTTCTTGGGTTTGTGATTTTTGAAGAAGGCCCGTATCCATGAAACTCAATCTAAGATTGAAGATAGGAAGTTGCCTTTCTCCTTTACAACAATCCTTGCTATCAGTACTATTCGTTGGCAATTGCTATTCGATCAGTCATGGTTATTCAATCGGTCATGGTTATTCGATCAGTCACAGCTATTCGATGACTCACGGCTATTCAAACAACCATTGTGGACCTCCAACAGTGAGGTTACTCGCACTATTCGTTTCTAACCGAATAATCATACTATTCGAACTATTCGTTTGTAACCGAATAATCGTACTATTCGAACTATTCGCTTGTAACCGAATATTCGCTTTGGATTTTTAGCGATATGTGAGTGCTTTTTTGGTGAATATTCAAATTTGTCAGCAAATTAAGGCTGTCTCACTCACTTTGTTGGCAAATGAGGCCTGAACACCTCCTCAGAGCAAAAAAGCTAGCAATAGCACTGCTTATTTAAGAACAAATTAAGAACAATCCAGTGGCAGATTTTCGAAAGAATTAAGAACAGTCAGCCTGAACTTAGATTTACTGGTTCTTATAAAAAAAGAGTGTAGTCTAATTTGTAAAGAAATGTACGAAAAATTAACCTACCTTGCAACATTTCACTGGTAAATAAATTCAAAGCTTTCTTTGTATACAATTATTTCTATCCAGATTCATTTCTATACAGAATTATTTCATTTTTCAAGCAGTTGATCAGTATCAGTATATGCTTCTACTACAGAACAAAAATAACAAAAATGATGACCAGAAAAGGACCAGATTCTCTCTTATTTGTATTTCATAATAATAGCTAGATTTTTTATAGTATCATTGTTATTATGCATATTTAAGTCATATCTGTTTAGGATATTTTATATTACAAGAACTGAACTAATTTGCAGTAGAAAATTTGTAATTTTTTTATCAGGGAAATACTAGATTATTGTCCACTAGTTTACCTGTGATTGAATTCTTGAATATCTGAGAAGTACTCTGCAATTTTAAGGAATAACTGTACATTATGATATCTGAAATTGAACAAAAGTTTTCTATGGTAGCATAATTACAAAAGCAAACCATGAGTTGCTGCTTGAATAAAATCCCAATAAAGTCCAGGCCCTGGAGCTCCCCCCCCCCCAATAAATGTCAAACTTTGGTATGTATCCTTTAAAACAATGTACTGAATGAGAAAGAAAACAATGGGAAGCGACCCCCCCCACCCCCAATATGAATTTTGTTCCAACGGAACTGAAGTCTACACCAAAATTTTTTAAAAGTATATAAATTATGACCTGATGTAGCAGCTATCAAAATATGGCTTGGATTGCTGGTATCAAAGTAATCCAAAGTGCAAAATATATATTTTGAAAATATTGTTATTTAAATGTAAAGTGAAGCATTCTAAAAGCCTCAAGAGGGGCTTATCTGCAATAAAATTATTGGTAACTTTCCCTCCAGCTCCTTTCTGGCTTTTTTCTCCTGTTATAACCCTGAATGTTGTACATTTTTACCTTTACTTGCAATGTAAATAGAGGATGTCATACTGAAAGTAAAAATTTATTCATTTTCAAACCCAGTAGGTGGAATTATGTTTCTCAGGAACTAGCTTCTCAGGAATCAAGTTTATATTATTTGTATGTTAAAAAGTACATCTATTTGACAAAGAGCTCTGTTTTAATTACAGTGTATGGCAGAGTCGAGAAAACTAAATGTGCAAAGTCAGCCAAATATGCTAGAATTTGCCAGATGCATGGCCACACATGCACAAAGTATTTTCTTTTGAAATCACTGTAGGCTGGTTGTTGCTCTCAAGTTTATGAACCAGACAAAAACAATCATCCATTAGCAACACCCAGTTATTTTGCTTGCCATATCTTTTGCCATTTGCCAGTCATTTTGCTATCGATGTAACTGAATTTGCGCTCTGGTCCTTCAAGTTATCTGGTCAAAACTGAAAATTGTAGAAGTAAATTATTAGTGGTGTAACACTATGCCTTCAATTAAAAAGTTTGTGATCCGTTAGATTTTATTGCATTTCCTTTTTACTCTGCGATTTTCCTTAAGAAATATTTGCAGCTTTATGATTATTGATGTGCAAATTCTTTCTGTTTATCACAGCTTATCAAAAGGTAAACAACTTTAAACCAAAGATGATGATGAAAAATTTTATCGGAAGTTTCAAAACAGTTAAAGGTCACCGATGAAGTTCTTAAGAATTAGATTATTTAAAGATAATCAGTTGTAAACTGAATTAGACACCATTTCCTGTTTGCCATCTTTGCTGTTTATATCCTACTTATCTCTATCATTTTTCACAAAGATGCCTTAAATTGTATCTTGTTAGTCTTAACCAGATTATTTTCCGAAAGTTTCAAGGCTATAATGTGAAAATGAGATTCGAATGTGAGTGATGGGATGCAACGAATGTTGTCAACCAGAAACAATTGTTTAATTGTCTTATCCTACTTCTCTTATCCAAGTTAATTAATGAACCTGTCAGTGTCTAATTCGATGGCAACTGTATTCTGCACAACATGTAACAGCAAGCTGCAAAGCATGACAAGATTTCAGATGCCATCATCGCACAACAACAATAGTAAAAGTTTATAAACTTGCAATGTGACATTTTCATCTTCATTGAATAAAATCTTCCGTTTATCTTTCTTGCCCCAAAGTTGTATAATAAATAAATCCGCATCTGGATATATATTTTCATGTATAAATTGAAGTTGTCTATTTTGGCATACCGTTATCATCTACCGCAAGAAATATAAGCAATCTTTGCATTATAAATAACATATTTCTTGGTTGTCCTCAAAATTCAACAGTCATCTTGAACTATATAAGCATCTTGAACTTTTCTCGAAGCTTTGCTGTACACTTCCGCCATTACCACCTGGTCACTCTAACGTTATTACCGTTTCATGAAGGTTACTGAAACGCATATCTTTCTCATTCAGTCACTGAAATGACACTGCCTCAGAAGGGACACTTTTGCATGGGGGACCGATTAGCATACTACACTTTGGCTCATTGCTGAAAATAATACCATCAGTGATTGTGGACAAAGGCAATTTCGCTAGAAAACCTTTGTAATTCGGCAATTTTTATTTTATTCAGAAGATCCCCGCCCAACGTGCCAGTGGCGGAAATTCAGGCTTTCATTTGAGGGGGGCCCAGGCCTACGATTTTCCGACAAGATAACATCACGGACCATGTATAATTTCAAAGAAACTGCATATTTTGATAAAAATAGTTGATTTTTTGACGGGACTCTTTAGAAATCTTTGCTGACCACGCCATAATTAAGTAGCAAGAAGAACAATCCATTTATGATTTTTGATATCAAGATTGATATCTCATCTAAGACAATTGATGATAAAAGAGGTAGACCGATAACACTTTTGACAAGTCGTACGTTCATTTTATGCATTTTATCTTGTTTTCGTCAGTGAGAAATACGTTTGAAAATAACTTTTGTTCAGAAGAATCCGATAGAAGTTTTAGCTGATCTTTACGGAATTGAAATTAAATACACAATTCACAAGCAGCTTTGATCATATATTGTTTGATTGATTTTTTGGTAATGGCTAATATTTTATCAGCTATGCTATGTTCAAATTTTGCGAAAAGGGAACAGAGAGGTTATAAAGGCCCCGTGGGTAAAAAAGGAAACGTGGATCACCTGCGAGCGAAGCGAGAAGAAATTTTGGCAATTACGCCCCTTAGATTAGCTTAAAATTCCTTTTCAGAACGATTTTTTGGAGTAATTTCGACACGTTAAACGGTTTTCAATTATCCGACGAAAGCCCGAATTTTCCGACGATGTCGCTGATTGGGGGGGCCCGAGCCCCCCAAACCCCCATAATTTCCGCCACTGCAACGTGCTATCCTTTACCAATGGTGCAACGGTACCAGACCAATATCGCTGGGACTTTAAATTCGATAAATGCATTTGCAACTGGCCGTTTCACGATTTCTTACAAAAAATTACGTACTAATGAAAAGTCAACGGAGTTAAGAAAACAGATGTTTTCTAAACAAATTAGCCGCTCTTTCTAAAGTTAAGAACCTTTTGCCCTATTCTTACGCAAAATTATATTTGTATCCTTTGAAAAAATGAAAAAATGTTTCTTAGAAATGGAATTTAAGCAAAATCATCTGGTCTCAACGCTTTGTTAGAAAAAAAGTTTAAACGCTAAAACTCTTCTCACTTTATTTTGTCAAGTCTTATTATAACGATTCTTTTTTCTTTGCAGATGCACTTAAAAATATGCTCTAACAAAAATGGTAGTAAAAATGGCTTTCAGTACAAGCTACACTATGGACCTGACACCGCAATGCTATTTGTAAGTGTCTAATTTTGTTTTCGGTTTGGTAACAATTCTATTGAATTTTAGTCCATTTGAATATTCAGTACATTTTTAAAGACACACCATTTATACGAAAAGATATATTCAATAAAGTTACTTCTCGCACTTAAAAACGGTAGAATAGTCTCTGGATGTATGGATACAATGCTATGTTGGTGTCTAATACCTGACAAATCTGTTCATGCTTCTACTAAACAATAACCAATGATTAGGGGCAAGATTAAAAGGACAAGATCAATCTCTAATACCTTGGTAGACCAAGAATTTTGGGAAAAACTCCGGTAATTACATTCAATCAAACAATTAAATCAAATAGTGGATAGTGTCATATAAATGACATGCTACGTAAATCACTAACTGTCTTCATAAATTTGTTTCCAATTGACAGCGGAAAGGAACTTTGTTCAATTTATATTTCAAGTTTTATACTGTCAATTCATTCCAGCTAAATTATAAGAAAAAGGTAGTAGCAATAATTGCTTATAGGAAACTTAGGAAGTCAGATATTCCTTCAATGTAGAAACCAACTCAATTTTTGCGAAGACAAGGCTTTATGCATGTTGCGTAGCGATGCTCTGTTGCATTTTACTAAGGTTTTGTAGTATATTCCCTCTTTACACGTAATTCCCTGAAGAGTAATTCCCTCTTTACACGCCTATTCTAATACCTCAGGTATTACTGAACAAAATATATGTTGAAAAATTTATTGTTCTGTTATTGTAGCAACATTGTAGCTTTTCATTATCAAGTTTACCTCAACGATTTGTTCTTGATCCTGTTTTGTTTAATCTGTGCATCTGCTTTTGGGTTAAATCAAACCCTTTCAGCATCTTTAATATGTAGATATTCATATTTTTTTGAAATTTCTAACAATTTATCTCGTTATTTTTACAATGATTCTCTTAACTTCAGTCAACTGAATGAACTGATTTGATTTGAATGAAATTCTGGAAAAATCTAGACAAATTTTAAGGCGATTCCCTGCTCTCGAGAAAATGCTACTATGAATGCAGTAGATTTTGCTTCTTGGGGTGACGTATTCACGTCCATAAAATCGATTCAAGTGTATCTACCATGGTAACCGTATATGATAATATTGCTTTTTCCTGTCTTTTGTGGTATGGCATTACTGTAGTATCATACTTGATAATCGGTTTCCGCTCTTCCATGTTATTTTCAAAGTATTCGAAACAATATTGAGTTTCGTAATATTGTGGGTCTTTTACGTCAACAAATTTTCTACCAGGCCAAGTGTCTATAGCCACTGTAGCACCAGTGTATTGCATGTGAAGACCAAGCGAAAACAATTTATAAACAGCAAATCTGACAAAGAGTAAAAGGCGAGCAAAAGCTGACCTTATAAAAAACTAATTTCACAGCAAATTTCACAGTAAATATCACCTTTCCAATTTTTTTCGCTTTTTAGCGGAAAGTTCTTAATTCTTAAGTTCTTGTTTGGATTTCAGCACATTCCAGAATAGCAAACTATCTTCATGCTAAAACTATTATATAAATTTTTGTCATCAAAACATGAAAGTCTAAAACCTCTAGAATCATTACATCATCGCAAGTATAAGCCGGCCAGTCTTCTTAGAAGCCGCCACAGAAACGCGCAAATAAGTTGATAATGGTTAAATTATAGAGTCAACTAGAGCTGGCTGCCAAGTTTAATCAATTAACATGGTGGGCCTAGTATCACGTCAATGTTGTATCAATACCACTCCTTCTCGAAAGCTCAAACGCTACCTGTAATCCCAGACGGCTTAACATCTGCACGTTAGTTATACGCAGAATCCATCGACGACAAAGAGCGCATACCTCTATGTGGCCATGAGCCGCAAAAAGGTACATTGGGATCAGCTGAAAACCCAATCCTTTGTTTTTGTTACCCCCTTGCAATAATATTTGATTTTGAAGGTCCTGGTCCTGGTAGCTGCTCGGTGTTGAGGGCGATGTAGGTCAAAACAATCGTGCTGATTCGCACTTTTCAGATTTTGATCAGCTGATATCCCCCTCCTTTTGTTTTTGTTTCCCTTTCCCCATAACATCTTATTTTAATGGTACAGTTTCTGATCGCTGCTCGGAGAAAACGATGTAAGAAGAAGACAATCATTCTGATTCGCCCTTTACAGTGCCCCTGACGGACATTGAAAATAACGAGGCCAAGACAAGAATGAATGCATAACGTAACTAAAGATTTTGCCAAAAAGCTTTATTGCTTTGCAAAAAAAGTGGGGGGGGGGGCAATCCATTTTGAAATTTTTGAATGTAAACTTACGAAAAAGAACGATCGAGCACTTATGACTGCGCAAACCTATTACAAATCAGTTTAATTTCTTGCAAATTGGTTGTGATCTTTCCAGAATTGTAAGCTTTTTTATCATTCAACGTAATTTTTTGATACTTTTATCCAACGAAACATAATTCATATCAAGTATGCAAGTGAACCTGTAACTACAGGACACATTGAGGGTATGTCTCCGTTTCCAATGTAACTTTCCAAATGGGGACACATTAACTTTTATATGTCATATAACTATATTCCACATTTCCAAACATATATTTATATATATTCTATACTTCTAATGATCACACGTGGTAGACTGCTATTTTAATTTCACACTTAACTTTTTATTGACAGTGGTGTTAACATATATTATTCTTATGAAGATGGGTGGGAACAGGCTTTTCGCTTAACTCTTCTTAAAATCTGCACCATAGAAGTAAATACAGGTGACCATAATCGGATAGGAGGTCCTAACGACCGTTGCGTGTCTAACAATCATGTAATAATCTCTTTGAAATCCTTTTATAAGAGTACTGTCGAGGCGTCTTTTAATTAACGTTTCAAATTCCTATGAGTATAATGCTACTTCCTTATTGCTGAATGCAAAGCCTTATTGCTGCTATACAAGGAATATAGACAAAGGCAGCAACTGGTTTCATTCTTACAAAATACTTCCATTTAGAAATCAAACTTGTGATCAGCCCAAAACTTTGACCTGGAGGGTCATAAAGAGTAAAATTTACTGACGAAGATATAGATGACGAAATATGTAGGCAACTAATGATTTTGTGAACCAACTGAAGATTTACTGACGAATTCGTGAAGAAATGGAGGTGCCATAAACCCTAACACCCTCGGTACCTACCCCTTTGCTTGCGATTTATCAAAAAAGGGAGATGCGAGGAAATCTAGAACGCCTAGCTTTGAGTTTATTATAAATCTTTGTTGTAAAAGATGATCAGAGTTTAACAATTGTGCACTGCAAGCTATTTCCGAATTTTGTTGTAAGCTTTGCGTCAGCTTTTCCTAACTACGCAGTCTATGTGCTGATCTGGTATCATTATTTAGCATTCGATCAACTAAATATCATCTGACTGAGCCCAAGGTATTCTAACGCAGCAAAAATAAAGAGTTAAGATAACATGTGCCATTTGTAGAAGCGAATGTTTGCATAGAATGTCAACATTCATTATTTTCGTAAGGGGAAAAAGGCAAACTAACCACTCTCAAAAACAGCCGCATGAATTGCATGGTTTCAGTGCTGACAATACAAATATCGAATAAATGAATCACCTTCTTTCTTGTTTCCTTTATTTTGCGAGCATGTGTAAAGCAAAAGTACGTTTTTCCGCTATTCTGGCGTGATTTGGTGTACTTCACACTTGGACACCCAGGGAGTGGACTAAGTTCACTCACATTTGGTTTTAAAACAAATCCAGATCACATTTGCATCGTTGCAGCTCTCCGCTTCTCAATACAGTAAGTTTGTTGCCTGGTCAATCGTGGCACGGCCTATTTGTACTGGCTGAGGGGGGCGTCGCAGGTTAAGTCGGCGAAACAGATACACGCAAAGCGGTTTACGTAAACAGATTATACACAAATCCAAAGCATACAAAAATTCATGCTAATTAATGTTGCGTGCAAACAGAAGCGTTCAGCCTCGCCGATTCACCGTATTGCCAATGCGTGGCCACTACTATTTTTGGATTTACTGGTTTACGTCATTAATCAAATTTGAGGCTTTTGTACCAAAAACATTGTTTTGCATGAAGACAATGCTGCTATATGAGCCGCAGTGTTGATTCTCGTAAGGTCTGGCACTATTAATTTGCTTTTGTTTATCAAACAAACACATAAGACAAGAAAACAGGATGATTGTCATGTTAAAATGTTCATAAAATTGCTAGGTTTAGCATAACTTTGAAACCTTCCTATAGTTTCACAGATGGCATGCTAAAGTTAGCATTGTCTCGTAGAAAGTTTCCTTACACCCAGCTGATTAGGCAAGGTATGCGTCTATGGTGTATATTCTTTTCATGCCGAGCTCTTTTTGGTTTGCCTATGTCAGCAAACTTTGTTCAAAACATTTGAATAGTCGACCACTGTTAAATGCTGTTGAGATTTTTGTGTCGATACGTCTAAAAAATGTGCAAGAGAATTCTTTTTTATTCTTATGCATTCAAAATTGTTTATAGCTAATTTGATAACAAAAAACTGTCGAAATTAAAAAACGCCCATAGAATGATAACACCAGGGCATGAAAAACAAGCAACATCCGTACATAATCGTACAGTTAATCGGGATCACAATTGCAAATATGTTCCCTAGTGGTATTTTGCCTCTCGTCCCAACGAGGGAAAATTCTGATTTAGTCACAGATGGTTTACAATGATCATTTTAGACATTAACGATTTCTCAAGAAGTTACTACGCATCTGTCTTTGACCAGCCTTTCCTACTACAACATTGCAATTCGGTTAGAGGAAAGCCCTTTCCAAAATTGCTTTTGAAGATAAATACACCTGACAGTTTTATTACAACACGAGCCTCAAAATTGGTCAAAAGTTTTTAACAAATTGAAAACAAGCCGAAGCTGAGACTGTAAAATGTTACCTGGAAAGTTTTTTACCATCTAGTGATGCTTTTTTGGCAAATTGTCAAAGTTCTAGGCAAACACCTCAATTTGTTGGTTAATAGGGCCTGAAAACTGCTCTTGAGCAAAATAGCTAGCGATTGCACTGCTTACACCCTGGTTAAGAAATTAAGAAAAACCAGCCTAAACTTCAATCTATTGATTCATATAAAACAAAAGAGTGTAGTGGCTTTCATTTGTCGAAGCTATTGTAGGAGACTGATACAAAACATCCCCTTTAAAAATACGATATTTCATTATCGACTAAAAGACTATCATTAATTCAGGGTCTCTTGTTATTGTGCTATAATTTGGTATAGCAACTTTTTCTCGAAAATTATGAAATATAACAAATCAACTACTTTTAATACAAATGCACGCCCTTTCTTAAAGTTTGTCTCTTTTTCGATGTCAAAAAGATACTACACTTTGCCCACTGGCATTGCAGAAAGCTTTGAAACGATTGTAAGGCAAAAAATTGTACAGAAAATCGAAAAGAAGTTTTAGGAAAAAAACAAGATCTAAAAATACGATCAGAGCAAAAGAGGGCTGCTAATCTTCGAAGCTTACCTAATTAATTCCTTATTGGAAATAACCGACATTCTCAAATGAGAATGTTTATTTCCGCTCATTCAACAAGGTAAACATTTATTAGTCATAAGAAGGCACGCTTAATGAAAACGATTATTTGGCACGATAGAATAGATGCTTTGAAGCAATGTATAATATCAATTTCCTTTTGAGATTCGATACTAAGCAGTGTTGTTAGAAAGCCCATCGTTATCAATGTCTTCATAAGGCCTGTTAGTTGCCCGATGATTTTTTTAGGCGTAAAAATCGAAGTAGCTCTTTTTCTACACACCAAAACCTGCTTGTGGTGTCATGTTACCTAAATTACCAATTTAAAAAGGAATGGTGACATCTCTTTGATTATATTTTGATTATCAAACTGTAAAGGGTTAAAGATAGGGTAAAAATAAGTGTGCAGTTGTATCAAATGGGACATGGAAATACAGCTTCATAGGTTTCAGCTTTATCTCTTTGGCCTCCCTCTCTTGGGAGACTAGCTAATGTCTCAAGTAAAACTAGATATTTTGGTCATAAACCGTTTTTTTTCCCATATTTGATAACATTTTTATAATTTTTCAATAGGAATTTACCTTTGCTGGTTTCGGAAGAAGGAGCAAACTCTTCACATATATATCTGTCACATCAAAAGAAGAAGGTATCCAAAGAAAGGTAAATTGATCTTTTGTTTTTCTGAGGAGCAGTCGTTGACACCTGACCTATCGAACTTGATTTACAGTAACACCTGTTTTTCTTCGTGAACAGCTCATCTTCATGTCTTCCATTTCCATCTCTACTTACAGCCATGTCCAATGATATATATATATATATATATTTTAAAGGAGCGGTAAAGATTTGAATATTTAGAATATAAGATAATATAACCAACTTTAAGAAAGTATTTGTAGTATTCAAAGACAAAAAAATTTGTTTCACAATCTCAGTAAAAACTTCCTTTACACAAACGTTGATAATCAGAACTTTTGGTAAGTAGAATGAAAATAGAGAACATTGAAAATGAAACACCCAAGAGTTTCTCAAAATAAGAATTTGGAGTTTAGAATGATCAATTGAATTTTGATAAAAGTAAATTTTAAGTTGCTTGTCAGAAGAACTGACATTTTCTATTGCCAAAATTTTCAAACTAAACCTACGCGTTGAAAAAATGAATTTTACAGTAAATGGCTTTGTTAAGAAATGATCCACTGAAGATTTTTAATTGTTGCCTGAAAGATGTTTTTGCCTAAACTGAAGAAAAAGCATTCGCCTTACCTTCTCCAGTTTTTGCCTGATTTTTCATATAATTTTTATCATTAATGGTTTTTTAAATAACATACCCAGAAGTTTGTTTTTTGTTTCTTTTCTATGTTTACTAATACAACCAATTTTTGCTATTTGATTGCTATAAGGATCAAATGTCGAAGGAAAATTTATAGTAAATAGAACAAAAGTGGCTTCTGCCATTTGTTCTTCTGAAGATAAAAGTTATAGCTAACAGCGTTTATAAAAACTAAAGTTATATCTGAAAGTATAAGAAGAAATGACTTTATCACAAAGTCAGTGCTATCTTTATCTGATAGTTTATTTTGAAATCCAGCAGCAAAATCTTTCCATTTCCTTGCCTGTCTTTTTGCCTCAAAATTCCGACATCATTAAAGCTGTTTATGACCAGGCCTGTCGCTAGCTCTTTTGCCCAAGGGGGGTTTCAAAGTCCCATTTGCCGCCAAAGTAGGCGAGCCACCCATTATTAGCCGAAGAATTTAGAAATTTACCGCTTAAGTACCACTAGCTGGCAAAAAAGTCCTAATTTTTGCAATTGAATTTTTTGCAAGGGGGTGTCACATCCCACACCCTCTTAAGTGACGGACTATAGTGAACATTAAATCAATCAACTCTTCGAGTTAAGACACTTTGATGATTTTTTAAGCTTTAATTGCAATTTAATTTCAAGCATAATTTTGAATCATTTAAGGGCTTATTATTTTATGAATTAACTAGCCCTTCTGTCTAAAATATTTTGAATCACTATGATGAATGTGAAAGATTTTTTTATGAATTAATTAGGCCATTTATTAAGCAATTTTTGAATCATTTTCAAAGAATTTTATTTTATGAATAAACTAAGCTCTTTTTGCAAAAATTTTAGGTCATTCTAAAAGTTTTCTATCTTATGAACTGAATAAGTTCTTAATGAATAACTTTGAATCATTTTAGGAGATTTTTATTTTATGAATTGAACAAGTTCTTTATCAAAAAGTTTTGAATAATTTTCTTTAAACTTCATTTTTCCAGAGATATCTTCTCTCGTTGTATTTCATTATCCAGTGCGAATTTTATCGTGAGTGGAATTCCTTGCATAATTCTAAATCTATTGCTGCTAAGTAAATTGTCTTCATCTAACCTTATAGAGAATCGATTATGTTTGATATGTCCCTAATACCCTGGGTACCAGAGCTTTAGAGAGTCACTGGAAGTAGGAGCGGGTGAGAGAAATTGCGAATTAGAGCGGGAAATGAGGCCTCGTACCCATGGTATTTCACTATATGAAAAGTCCAACAGATTTAAATTTCCTTTATTTATTAGAACGGGTTGTACAAAGTATTTTTTGTCTAATCTTTCTAAATTTTGCTACAGACGGTATAAACAGTGAGTGGGTAAAGATAATCTGTAAATCTTTAGCTTCATAACTTCATAACTTCATAACTTCAGTAACTTCATAACAACTTGTGGAATTTCAATGATACAGAGTATTGTATTGAAATGGCAATATAAAGAAAGTAAAACTGCAGCTAATTCGACAAAAACATTATGCTTTGCAACTTTATCATCGTAACAATTCAGAGTTCACTCGAAAATTCTATAAAAAAGCACGCATTGAAGCAACTGAAGCTATAAGGGAATTAAAGCGTGAATACTTCACCTCAACCAATTAAAACTGTAACAACCCTAAAGAGATATGGAAGACATTAAAGAAGCTCCTTCCATCTAAGAAGTCCACGATACCTGATTTTATATGCTAGAAGAAGGAAAAACATTCCTCTAACCTTGAAATAGCAAATTGCTTCAATGATTTCTTCAGTACCGTTGCACACAATCTTACAGCTATCTTGCCAACTTCTGAAGCCACCAGTGTTGGCAAGGTAACACAGCAGATACTAGATCTCCTGGCTGTTTCTCCTTTGTGAACGTTATCTCAAAGCTACGTACCATCAAAGGAACAGGTTTAGATAACATCTCAATGACACTGGTCAAAATCCTTGGAAAATCACAACGTTTTGTTTTGACCCTTGCAAATGTTATTGAGTCTTCTTGCAAAACAAGAGGGTTCGCTCTGGAAAAGCGCAAAAGTTGTGCCTATATTTAGAGCTGGTAACATCGAAAATGTTGACAACTATCGATCTATCTCCGTCCTGCACTTTTTGAGTAAAATAATTGAGAGAATTGCTTTAAACTACATTTACGCATTTCTAATTAATGAAAGCTTACTGCACTTACTTCAATCTGGCTTTCGTCTCAAGCATTCCATTACTACGGCACTAAAAAACCTCATTGATATAACACATAATGACATGAATGAATCTTTTTTAACTGGAGCTATCTTGTTGGATCTGCGTAAGGCGTTTGACACTGTTTACCACACCTACTTACTAACCAAAGTCAAACGGTTCAACCCAGGTAATAACATTTATTGATGGCTCTATTCATATTTGTCTCAAAGAAACCAAATTATTACCTTCAATGGAGTTTTATCCAAGAGAACTACTTTAGCTACTGGTGTCCCCCAAGGATCAATTCTAGGACCGCTGTTGTTCCTTATTTCCGTAAATGATTTACCTACTAACTTTCCAGCTGAAGTTATTATGTTTGCAGATGGTACAAAAAAATTATCAAATTTAGTGTCCCATTTGTTAGTTTCATCAGATATTCAAAGTAATCTTGATGAAATTTGTAGTTACTCATCCAAGGATCGACTAGTGCCACATCCAGGGAAAACAGAAGCCTCGTTATTTAGTAAACGCAGTCGAGCATCGTGTCCAAAAGACCGTGCACTGCTCAAGCTTGATGGTGTAAAGATAGACTATGTAGCGTCATATAAATTCCCGGAGATTTACGTTGGATGAATACCTGGATTATTCTGTTCATATGAGAGATTAATGCAAAAAGCTGAAATATGGAATCTCAATCATCCGGAGAGTGAAAGTGTACCTCCCTCGCGAAAGCTTGGTTAACCTTGCTAATTCACTCGTGTTAAGTCACCAGACTACTGTTCACCTCTTTTCCATAATCTCAGCACTAAGCATTTGGATACCCTTATGAAACTTCAAAAACGACGTGCTCGTGTCATATTTTCTGTTTACAGAAGAACCAATAATAGCAAGCCTCTCTTAATACAACTAAACTGCTTACCAATAAACCAGAGAATTAAACTGAACACATACTTGCTGACGTTTACGTTCATCAATGATATTCATCTGATTTAGCAACTAGAGCATCAGACGTACATAAACTCCATACACGTTCCCCGACCAGTGGGTGCCTCTACAAATCAAGCAAGCCCGTCGGGACCGGGGGGTTGGGGGCAGGAGCCCCCCAATAATTGTCAAATTGTAGTATGTTTCCTTTATAAGTGTGTACTGAATGAGAAGAAAAACAATAAGCAGCCACCACCCACCCCCTACTCCCTCAATATATATTTCGTTCCGAGGGCACTGTCAAGAGGTGCTATTTATTTCAAGACATTCAAATTTTATGGAACCAAAGTTTGTAATTCTCTTCCTAAAGAGTTAAGGAATATATCATTTTACCTAAATTTTATCATTATTATCGATTTCATCAATTTTAATTTTATCAATTTTGTGTAAATCACACTTCATCGACAAATTTAAGGACCAATCTTTTCTTCAATATAGTTTTCTTGTATTTTCATATTTATAACTATATTATTGTAAATGCACTTACATTGGAATATTTTTCCTCATTTATTTGTAAGCCAGGCTGAAAACAAGCTTTGCTTAGTCCTGTTATTTATATCACAGATATTTTTTGGCTGTACAGGACTTGACAATGGCTTTGAAAAAAGCAAAAATGTTACAACATATTGGCTAAAAGCTTTTTTGTTTGACACTCTTCAGAGCATAAAATGTCAGAATAAGGGTCCGAAAGAACACGATGCAAAATAAATACCCAGTTGTGGATCGAAATAGGCCAATCAGAAAAATCAGAAAATCAGGTCTTGTGCTTGCGTTTTTCTGATTGGTCTATTTCGATCCACAACTGGGTATATATTTTTCATCGTGTTCTTTCGGACCCTTATTTATCACATTCAGTTGCACTAAACACATTAGCCATTCTTACAAAATAGAAGTATTTCTGGTGTGCACCTGAACCAAGAAGCATCGTTTGTGCATCAAATTCTGCACCAGATGCCCCTTTGTTCTCGATATATGTGCCATGCACATTTCTTTCATTCCATACTGGTCTTTGTGCGTTTAAAAATTTATTTATCAATTGTGTAGACAGAAGAAGTTCGTTTCACCCTTCATAATGGTTGAGTCCTGAAAAATTCGTTGTAGATCAATTTTGAAATATGTTCGTCCAGTTTAAAGCTTTTGCCAGAATAGATAATATGTAATAAATCCTATTCTAAAAAGTATCAGAAACTTATTTGCTCA